TAACGAACGACGCTAATATATCGTCCTACCTACTATATATATATATATATATATACACTTTATTTCCATTCCATTATTGCCCCATTATTAACGACATATATAACAACGACGAGTTTCTACCAATTTTGAAAAATTGATTCGTCAATGTCGAAAAATTATTTCTACAAATTGTTAAATCAATTTTAACGTTTATATATTTATTCACAAATTATACGTATCAATCGTTATACGTTAAACGGAACGATCGGTCGGCGCGGACGAACGAAACGAGGCGAAAGAAGAGATCCGTGGCCCCTCTCTTGAGAAAAATTGACGAAATCCCTAATTGAGTCTAAAAGCAACGAGACCCTGAGCCTCGTTACGAGGCAAGTGTCACCGTCTGACTTTCGTCGGATTCCTCTTATCGCGGTCCATAGACAGCTGACGCGCTCTGGCGTGGCGGTATCCCTACCCCAGGACGAGGGGCGGGGGGGTGGGGGGAAGGGGACTCTTATGGAAACCTGGCTGGCGCGCACACGTAAGAAACCAGAGTCGCCAGCTTGTCTCGGCTGGACCGAAGAAGGTGGAGGAGGATAAAGAGGTGGAGGAGGATGCGTCACGCATCGAGTTTGACGGAAGAAGGCGAAGAAGAAAAGTAGAAGAGGAGGAAGAGGAGGAGGGGAGGAGGATGGAGGAGGAGGTGGTGGAGAGAGGGATGTGCGTGCGTGTAACTGCGTAGGCACGGCCAAGTAACTCGTGGAGCTGTTAACTCTCCGGAGCTCGGAGCCCGTCTCCACGGCTAATTTACCTCAATTTACGGAATAGCGTTTCCTGTCGGGGGCCTGTATATCGGTCAGGTCGCAGTACCAAAGTCTAGCGAGGTATCGGGCACAGGGATGGCTCTAGACTAGCTGTCGCCATACGCCGGCCTTCCACCTCTTCCAAACGGACGCGTGCACGTTTGAAACGAGGACGATCGCTTTCCGTCCGATCCCGCATTTTTTTCTACCTACGATTACGACGATCGATTATTAACCGGATCGTGCAAAAAGTGAAATCGCGTAAGGTAATCGCGTAAGGCGAAAGTTGAGGTTCGATTTGGATGGAACGAAAAAGGGAAGGAAGAGAGAGAGAGAGAGAGAGAGAAATGATATAGATGGAAAGAGTTGATAGTTCTGGAAGGAAGAATGATCGGTGGACGGCTCTGGATATGAATGAGAAAGAATAAAGAATCGAGGAGAGATTCGGGTGGGCTGGTCCTCGAAACTCTCACAGGTAGAACAAATACCTGAGATTTTTTCGGCGACTTAAGGACGGCCTAATTAGAGGCACGATGACGATGTCAAAAACCACGGACTCCGGCCGAAGGCGAACACGAAATTGGTCTAGCTGGATAGCTGGCTAGCTAGCCGGCCGGCCGGCCAGCCACCCACCCTGCCACTCTCCTGCTGACAACCTCGTGAAGAAGGAAGAAGAGAGAGCGAAGGAGTACCGTTTTTCCACCACCGACCTTCCTCCCTCTTCCTCGCTAAGCGGTTCAAAGATCAAACTCGAAACTATCGTTCCTCGGTCTCTGGGAACACCAGTCAACCAGAGTTTGAGTGCAGGTAGGACCCGATACCTGGATACACTTTTCCGGGAACCGAAACCTTCTAATTGCCGACACGACAATTACATTAAGGGAAGAGAGGAATTTCATTGCAAACTTGCTCCACGAAAAGAAAAAAAGAAAGAAAAAAAAAAGAAGAAACACGATTCGCCATATTTTTCAACCATACTTCCTTATATATATAGTTGTCCATATTGTAAATTTCATTGAATTTGTGAAAAATGGGAAACAAGACAAGACTCACCCGTCTTCGGTTCTCAACACCCGGTAGGCCGTGATCATGTACGATCCACGATTCCTCCGATTCTTCACGTCCATGCTGCGATAGAGCCTGAGCTCTGCACCGATTATGTGTTCCCCGGGTGGTACCTCGGATACGTCGAACCACAGCCTTTTGCCGCGCTCGTGCCTCACTCCGGCAACGTGGTGATCTGCGGATCGAGAAAAAGCGTCTCATTAACCGGGCCAGCAACTGGGATCGTTCCTTCGAAAATGTGAATATAGATTTACGACTGAGGAGGGATTGTCGAGTGGCAAATAGTTCTTCTACTCTTTATCCTTCGGCTGGATCGGACTCTTTCGCTCAAATTCCTTTCTTCCTTCCTTGCTCGTAAATGATGGATGGATTTTTATCTCGTAGATAGATAAGCGTAATGCGATTGTAATGGGATTGCAAGAGAGAATGGTAAAAGGGAAGTAAACGAAACGGATCATTATCGTTCGATGTATTTACGTCGAAGTTTGGGTGAATTATAGACGCGTTCGACTGCTGCTCGACGCAGTCATTAATTACTCGGTATCGCGATCTTCGAGTAAACTTTATACTCGAAGAGGGTAGAAGAAAGAGTAGGCTCGATTTCGTCTCGTTTTTCCGGTATTATTATTCTCGGTAACAAAAGTAATTATTCCTTTCCCTTCGACGTTCGGTAAATCGCCTTAGAGACGTTATCTCTGTTCGACGAGGAGGAAAAATGGAAGTTTGGGAAAAAGGTCGAAAATCTCGATAATGCTCGGTGAACCGAGCAAAACCTGTTCACTTACGATAAATTTTGAACCCCGTCGTCGTCCCTAATTGTCGTCCAGATATTGCCTTGGCATTCCTTCCATTCCATCCCAAAAATATCCGCTCCCCAAGTGCACTCTTTAAATTAATATTAATATACCGTTTCTAACGCGAGCGTGTTACACCGAATTTTCGCGTGTCGTCCCCGTAAAAATTGATTTTCCCCGTAATAAACGTAATCGAACGGGACGATCTTGGAAGAATTTTCGAAATTTCCATTTTCGATCGTTAACTCGAACAACGTAACACGCGCAAATCGTTACGTGTTACTCGCGATCAGATTACGAAACCCCTTAATTAATTACACGGCCGAAAAGAAAGGGAATGGGGAGGAAGGGAAGGAAAAGAGAGACGAGAGGCAAGAGAGAGAACGGAAAGAAAGGGGAAGAGAGAGAGAGAAAAAAAAGAAGAAGCGCATATACCACCACGACTCGAGGTGGTTCGCAACGAGGTGGCCCTGGACGAACCACCTCTGGCCAGGAAAAAAAAAGAAAAAGACGTATCGTTCCGAAGTAGCGATCCGACTTTCGACAAACATCGATCAACAACCGTGTTCCACGCGGGGCTCCTCCCCCGCCAACAACCATCCACGGTAATTCCACGCTCGTTCACGGCTTCGAATCAATTTTCCCCGAAACGACGCCTCGCGCAAAAATCCCTCCCCATCGATCGATCGATCGAACGAAGATTCGGATGGCCGTATACCCGACACCGATAACCGGCTATCCTCTCCCGTTCCGGCACGAGATCGATAAGGGAATCGTTACCCTCGTAAATGAGAGGGGTCCAGAAACGAGCCGTGGACAATTCGCAGCGTGAAATGGTCCTTTTTTCTACCGCCAAAGCGAGCGCCTTCCCCCCCCCGCTCTCTCTCTGAGGGGGGTGGGGAGCGGAAAGGGAAGGAAGGAGGGAGCAGTAGGTACCCTTGTTCCTCCACGTTGTGGTGGCATGGCATAGGAGGAGCCGTGGGACCCCCTTAAGTAATGCCTAATGTTTCTCCCGAGGAGGCCGACTCACGGCGAGGGGAAGAGCTAGAGAAGAAGGGGGGGAGAGAGAGAGAGAGAGAGAGAGAGAGAGAGGAGGAGGGAGGGAGGAGGAGG